AGGAGGGAATGCTGTGATCACAATATTGTGCAGATGCCCCACAAAAAATGGGTCAACAAAGTGTGGGTGGTCCCAAGTAGGTGCTCATTGTAGAAGCAAATGGATTAGGTTTTTAGTTTTTTCGCTATCTGCATTTCAATCGATTAGTTTTTTTGCATTGTTTAAATTCCATTATGAATTACTATTTAACTATTATACTATATTTGTTTTTAGAGCGTTTGTGTTTGAGCCGAGCTTGCTTTAATTTTTGTAAGCTGCCATGAGTCCCAGTTCTGGGGGAAAGGCAGATAAATAATATAACAAATAAATACAGTAACAGCAGTACCCACCAAAGGGAGTTTCTTAGGAACCAACCTCAGTGTTATACAGGGATGTCTGAGAAAAGGGTTATCAGCCACTGTGTTGGTGATAAATGATACAGAATTCACTACACAAAACAGGAAATCTATTTGTATCTCTCCTGAACTCGCCCTTACTCATCTTTGTTTGTGAGGCAGGCTAGAGAAAGTTTCATGCTCAGGAAGAACAAGGATATAGTCTGAATGCTTCATCTCTATAAATCGCTTAATGTGTCAATACGAAGGGAAGTCATTAAAATTGCAGTTGCTGTATAAGGGATTGTTCGTTGACTGGAAATCAGTAACATTTTGGAATGCAGAAATAAAATAATTTCTTGGAGCTTTATGAAGAAGAATCTACAGGGGATGGGGGTAGGTCAAGGTTTTGAAAATGGTATAGGTGCAATTTATTCAGAACAAAAGGCAAAATTAATTGTGAACAATGTGGTGACAGAAGAATTTAAGATTGAGAAAGGGACACGACAAGGTTGCCCAATTTCTCCATTGCTCTTTATATCGGTCCTTGAGGTTTTGTTAAATATGATCAGAAAGGACCAAGAGGTTAAAGGTATACAAATTGTTTTTGTTTTGTTTTGTTTTGTTAGTTTAATGTGTTAGTGTTATGTATTGTTTTTGTATTGTATTGTATTGTTTATTCTTTTTTTGTAATGTTTAAATTGTTGGAAAAGTAATAAATATTATTTTTTAAAAAATAAAAAATAAAGTAAATCATCAAAAGATCAATTCTAGCACCTAAATTGTATAATTTGGCATCTCAATGATTGGTATTAGTAATTGTATTATAATTTGGTATTGTTATAATGAGGCTTTTATTGGGTTGTTGTAATTGATAACTAATAAAAAATATCCAAAAGAAAAAAGAGAAAGAGAAAGTTTCATCCTCCAGGAAAGGCAAGGTGGAGAAGGACTATCCCTCTCAGTGGCAGAACAGGGTCCCTCAGAAGACTATCTCCCTTAGAAGACATGTGAAGGCAGCCCTGTTCAGGGAAGTTTTTAATGACTGATGTTTGAATGTATATTTTTAATCTTTTGCTGGAATAAATTATCATTCTCATTCTCATTCTCCTCATCCTCATTTCTCCGCCATTTCCCTCATACTGTGGATATTATTTTGAAAAACACACGATGGGTTTCTTCCATCATTTAAAACAAACCCAAGTGTAATTTACTTTTGGCAGACTCAATGGGCCCCTGGAAATACGGTGCGCAGATTTGTCCCCCTCTTTCTGGAAACCCGTCACAAGGTGGATAAAAGTTACCCTTGAGCTTATTGTGTCTGCCTGCGTTGCCTCTTTAGGAGACTTGAATCCCCACATAGGGAAGCCTCTTGGGAAAAGCTGCAGTGATGGCCACCAACAGGGGCAGCTTTAAACAAGGATTAAACAACTTCATTAAGGAGGAGGCTATCAATAGCTCTTAGCTGCAATGGCTACCTTCCATCTCCACCATTGGACTCAGCAAGCTTCTGAAAATAGTAATAATAGTAATAGTAATAATAATAATAATAATAATAATAATAATAATAATAATAATAATTTATTTGTACCCCACCCATCTGGCTGGGCAGCTTCCAACAAAGATTAAAAATACATTAAAATCTCACACATTAAAAACTTGCCTGGACTGCCTTCAGAGGTCTTCTAAATATCAGGTAGTTGTTTATCTCTTTGACATCTGGTGGGAGGGCGTTCCACAGGGCGGGCGCCACCACTGAGAAGGCCCTCTGCCTGGTTCCCTTTAACCTCACTTCTTGCAGGGAGGGAACCGCCAGAAGGCCCTCGGAGCTGGACCTCAGTGTCCAGGTAGAACTATGGGGGTGGAGACGCTCCTTCAGGTCTACTGGACCGAGGCTGTTTAGGGCTTTCAAGGTCAGCACCAACACTTTGAATTGTGCTCGGAAACATACTGGGAGCCAATGTAGGTCTTTCAGGACAGGTGTTATGTGGTCTCGATGGCTGCCCCCAGTCACCCCAGTGTTGTGTTGCTCCTGTCCTTCTAACAAGCTTCCCATTGGGACATCTGGTTGGCCGGCAAGGGTGATGGATTAGAGGACCATTGGCCTTACCTACTCATGTTCTTAATGTTGTCACCTCTAAACAAGTTGGCAGGAGCTGCACCTTCTCATGAGTCAAGTCACACATTATGGAAATGTCTCTGATTCTTTCCTCCATGGGTTGTTGGGCTGTTGTTTTTTGTTTTCTTTTCTTTTTCTTTTTTAAAGCCTAAAGCATCTTTTGGTGGGTGCAGAGGAGAAGGCAGGTGGGAGAAGAGGGCCAGAAAGATCTCTTTGGTACCAGTGGGGGAAATATGGTGCATATGGAAACCGTTGGGTGAACAAAAACTGACTCTTGTATTGAAATGAAAATTATTCAGTCCAAAAATATGGCCCAAAAGTTTTACTTACTCAGAACTTAACTCCAAACAACTTAAAGCAAATAAAGTTACATTCCATTAGATGCATAATTATTTATACTGATCCCAGCCTAAGGCCTATCTTAGATTACAAATATAGTGGTATCTCGGGTTACAGACGCTTCAGGTTACAGTCTCCGCTAACCCAGAAATAGTACCTCGGGTTAAAAACTTTGCTTCAGGATGAGAACAGAAATCGTGTGGTGGCGGCGCAGCGGCAGCTGGAGGCCCCATTAGCTAAAGTGGTACCTCAGGTTAAGAACAGTTTCACGCTAAGAACGGACCTCCAGAACAAATTAAGTTCTTAACCTGAGATACCACTGTATATTGCATCCTGAGCTAAAAATCAAAGTTCACTCTCTTCTCCACTGCAGCCTCCATTAGCCCCAGGCTGTTTGCTGGAGGCAGAGACTCACAGTCCATTCTCTTCAGCAGCTTGGAGCAAAGAAAGCAACCCACCAAAGGTGGATGCCTGCAGATTAGCATATGCATAAACCTGTAACACAATCCATTTCATGTGACAAAACTAGAAGACATACAGTCCCATGATGCAGCCCCATTAATGATAAACCTGTTAGGCTCTTCTTTAGCTCCAATGGAAATTTCCTGCCATGCCTCACATTACAATGCAGGCACATTATAGATATATTTTCCATTTCAATGTACATTACACAATTATGCTTAACAATTGGGACTAAACATTAGGAAGAGTTTTTTGATGGGAAGAGCTGTTCAACAGTGGAATGGACTCCTTCTGAAGGTGGTGGACTCTCCTTCCTTGGAGGTTTTGAAGCAGAGGTTGGGTGGCCATCCGTCTTGGGTGCTTTAGCTGAGATTCCCAGCATTGCAGATTTGGGATGCCTCTTTGAGTTCCCTTCCAGCACTACAGTTCTATGATTCTATATGCCAAACAGCCTCAGCATAAAAGAAATGTCTAGATACATTGCATTGTGGCACACCCTTCAGCTGGTTCCTCAGAGGTAACAAATTGGCCCCTAGCGGCTTTGCTTTCTATAAATCTCTTTCCTTCTCTCAGTTGTGTTGGCTGTGTGAGGTCCAAACAGCGACTGGCGCTGGAGAGCGGTCCCTCAAAGGTATGGAGTGGGGTTTTTTCCTTGAGATTAGGGCAGACTTTTTGTTTCTGATAGACTAACATTCCCTTGAGACCTGGAACCCCCTCCTGCTGAGTCTGAAGATGGGCATTTTATTTGCCTTAAATATATTTATATTATATTAGTTGCTGGAAACCTCAGGACGGGAGAGGGTTGCTCTTGCGCTCATGTTCTGCTCCCTAGTTTACCACAGGCATCTGTTTGGCCACCTTGAGAACAGGATGCTGCTCCTGGAGTTATGGGATGCATCCATCAAAGAGCACAAATGGTTTCTTAAGCGCTCTTGTCCTACTGCCCAACACATCAGGCCTGGACAATGAGTCCTGCTGGTTAGTCATGCAGTATGTGATCAGTAAAGAAGGCAACAATGGGAGCGGGGAGAGAAAGAGAGTGAGTGAGAGAGGAAATGAGTGAGAAACAGATGCTGCCTTGGGCTTTGCTCTTATGGAGAGAACATTTTGGTTCCATGGAATCAAACCCAGTTTGACACTGTTAAACTACCATCTCCTTCCCTTTCAGCTGCGTAGAACAACAGAAGGGCATCACACCGGACATGTCGTTGTCAGCCACTAACAGAACTCATGGAGACTCCTTCTCATTCATCTTGATGGGCCTGCCTGGCCTGGAAGGTGCCCACTTCTGGCTGGCCTTCCCCCTCTGCGCCATGTACCTTGTGGCCGTGGTGGGCAACTGCATGGTGGTGTTTGTCGTGAAGATGGAGCCAGCCCTCCACACGCCCATGTACTTCTTCCTCTGCATGCTGGCTGCCGTGGACCTGGCCCTCTCCACCTCTACCATGCCCAAACTCCTCGCCTTCTTTTGGTTTGATGCCAATGAGATCAGCTATGGGAGTTGCCTTCTCCAGATGTTCTTCATCCACGCACTATCAGGCATTGAGTCCACCATCCTCTTGGCCATGGCTGTGGATCGCTATGTGGCCATCTGCCACCCTCTGAGGCATGCTGCCATCCACACCAATGCAGTGACGGCTAAAGTGGGCTTGGTGGCCCTGGTGAGAGGGGTCATCTTCTTCCTCCCTTTTCCATTGCTGATCATCCGCCTGGACCTCTGCAGCTCCACTGTCCTCACACATTCCTATTGTGTTCACCAAGACGTGATGCACCTTGCTTGTAACGACAAGCTGCCCAATGTTGTATATGGCTTGGCTGCCATTCTCCTAGTGATGGGTCTTGATTCTCTGCTCATCTCTGTCTCCTACGTGATGATCATTAAGACCGTCCTGCAGCTGAAGTCAAAGGAGGAGCGCCTCCGGGCTTCTGGGACCTGTGTGGCCCATGTGTGTGTTGTCTTGTCCTTCTACGTGCCCCTGATTGGGCTGTCTGTGGTGCACAGGTTTGGGAGAGACCTTCCTGTGCTGGTTCATGTCACAATGGGCAACGTCTACCTCTTGGTGCCTCCAGTGCTCAACCCCATTGTCTATGGAGCCAGGACCAAGGAGATACGAGAAAGGGCATTGAGGATAATGAGGATAGGAAGTGAGGGAGGTCCTCATTGACCCAGATACAATGCCATACTTTTCTCCAGTCATGCCTTGCTGCCCTGAGCCATGAACACTGAGGTTCATTCTACTTTGCCTCCCAACCCCACTTTTACTTGAACATTGCTCTGGTCCTGACTACCATCTTATCCAGGGCTGACTTTCCAGACACCCACCTCCATGTCTCTGGCAGAGATTTCGCCTCCAACAGATCCTAAGGCCCATTTTGGGTTACCTGCAGATTCCCTTTGTCTTCATATAAATGTGGGCATGATAGCCATAGTTGAAGTCAGCTTTTGCAATTGTGAGACATGTGCTTTCCCCATCTCTCTCCATTGACCAGGGTCTGTGTGATCATTGCTCATGTGAGAGTTCCCGTCCAGAGGCACCATGGATACACAAAATCATGCATAGCTGAAAGCTGTCTGATAGAAGGGCAGGAACCTTTTTCTCCACTGCCAGAGGAAGAAGAAACAGAGGAAATCCCAGGATGAAGAAACCTGGATTCCTTGGCTGTGGAAGAGAGGGGGAAAGCAGACAGCGAGAGAGGCAAGCGGAACCTGCAGCATGATTCCAGCATTTTTCTTCCACCTGCATCTCTCTGTCAGCCTCTCTCCTCCCTTCCACAGTTGGAGTTTCTTCCTCCTCCATCGACCTCCATTTCCTCACTCATTTTGTAGCCTAGGGCACCAGGGTTCCTTCTCCCTCTGTCTGCTTCTGCCTCCCTCCTGCCTTATTCTCTTCTTCTCCTCCACTACAACCATCACCTGGAAGGCTGGCTCTGGCTGCCCCAGCCAAGCTCTCATAAAGGAATTTGTGCAGGTAGAATCATAGAATCATAGAATCATAGAGTTGGAATAGACCACAAGGGCCATTGAGTCCAACCCCCTGCCAAGCAGGAAACACCATCAGAGCACTCCCGACATATGGTTGTCAAGCCTCTGCTTAAAGACCTCCAAAGAAGGAGACTCCACCACACTCCTTGGCAGCAAATTCCACTGTCGAACAGCTCTTACTGTCAGGAAGTTCTTCCTAATGTTTAGGTGGAATCTTCTTTCTTGTAGTTTGGATCCATTGCTCCATGTCCGCTTCTCTGGAGCAGCAGAAAACAACCTTTCTTCCTCCTCTATATGACATCCTTTTATATATTTGAACATGGCTATCATATCACCCCTTAACCTCCTCTTCTCTAGGCTAAACATGCCCAGCTCCCTTAGCCGTTCCTCATAAGGCATCGTTTCCAGGCCTTTGACCATTTTGGTAAAAGGTACGTGTGATGTGAGTGCACTTCAAATCAATGTCTCCGTTTTATCTTGAGGTACCTCTTAAGTTATGAGTGCAATGCCTGCTCCTGTGATGCCACAGAATACTGAGCCAGTGAATACGAAGGCAAGGAGCAGTAAGAAGAGTAGGGAGGCTGGAGGAAGGGTGAGTTAGCAGAGGAGAGCCATGAAGAAGAAGCAGAAGGGAGACCTCAGGGTGGAGGCAAAGAGGAAGGAGAAAGTGGAGAGGGAAGATTGCAAGCCTCAGAGAGAAGGAAAGCGGGGAGAGCCAGTGTCAGAAATGTCAGACTGTGGACGAACAGCCTCTCCACAAGGTGCATCTGCCTCCATGAATCTAAGCAAAATATTATAAAGTATTTTTCAACAATAAAAATTAATAACACTAGATGTTCTAAGAAGTGAAGAAGAGACACTGGAGGTTTTTAAGCCGATGTTGGGTGGTCATCATCATGGATGCTTTCGTTGAGATTCCTGTACTGCAGGGGCTTTAGATGATCCTCAGGGTCCCTTCCAACTCCACAGTTCTATGATTCTGTGGCATGGAGCTTGCTCTGGTCACCAGTAAAGGACCATCTCGCTCATCAATTCATTTGGCCTTTGACTTATGGTGAAACTTTCCATTGTTATTATTATTTTGCCCCTTCAGGATTTTTGTGTGTGTTTTGTGAGCAAACACTAAATGACGGCGTCATTCTAATGAAACTCTAAGCATGACTATGCCCAGAGTTACCATATTTTTTGCTCCATAGGGCACACCGGACCATAGGGCGCACCTAGTTTTTAGGGGGGGGGATAAAGAAAAAAAATTACCCCCCCCAGCCCCAAAGAGCAAAGAAGCCAAGACAGCCAGCGGGATCCATCCACTTTAGCCACGTGCAACCTCTCCAGCCGGGATGGATCCCGCTGGCTGTCTTGGCTTCGTTTTTAGCCGCAGGGCTGGGGCCAGGGAAGCCCGAGCTTCCCCTGACCCCAGCCCCCAGAACAGGTCTGGGAGCTACCTGAAGTTGGCGCTGCGCTCCCCGGGCTTCAGGCTGCAGGCTGCTATCCACAAGCCTTCGGAGCCCGGCGGGAACTCCTGCCTCGCTCCGAAGGCTTGCGGATAGCTGCCTGAAGCCCAGGGAGCGAGAGGGGTCAGTGCGCACCGACCCTTCTCGCTCTCCAGGCTTCAGCGAAAGCCTGCATTCGCTCCATAGGACGCACACACATTTCCCCTTCATTTTTGGAGGAGGAAAAGTGCGTCCTATAGAGTGAAAAATATGGTATTTTGGATTAATGAGCTGCACTGCAGCAAAGCAGCATGGCCTGTGATTACAGCACATTGAGAGAGGTGGTGTGTCAGCCGCCAGATCCCAACTCTGCTCTCTCCTCTCAGGGAATCATTAGCTCTGATACCTGCATTCCAAAGGATTGGACCAGGGGACACTTTCGGCCCCCCTCCCAACTTTCCAACTTTGCGATTCCTCTTGCAAACAAGGGGTCCAATGTGGTGTTCTGTTGAGCCTGGCAGGCAGCAGTTTCCCCACAAACGTTCCTCAATCATTCCTCAAAGATGCCCTCTTGGTGGTGGCTGAAGTTGACTATCTGAGCAGAAGTCACTTCTCGTCGCCATTGGCACAGAGACCTCTGCAGCCAATTCCTTTGAGATGCTTCATGACTGCGACTTCTCAGCAAATCCTCCACTGAGCTCCGTCTTCCCCTTTACCAGCGTAAAAATAATAATAACAAGAATACTGCTTCTAATAGTGATTTACATTAAAAGCAGCTGCCCCCCAAAATGGGCTGCCATTCCCAGCACCTTTAACAAACGACAGCTCCCAGCACTCTTTTTATCAGTGTGTGTGTGTGTTTAAAATGTTTTGTGTGACGGACTGCTAGATTCTCCATTGACAGAACAACACATTCCACCTCGCTCAGGTAGGGCTTGTCTGGGTTGCTCCCAGGCAGAGGTTTCTAGGCAGAAGCCAAGTGAGCGTCATAGAACCCCTTGCACCTTACCCACCCAGAATCACCAAGGGATGTCTCACCTGTGCTCCATCTCCCACGGATGATGCACCTGAGGGACTCTGAGGTCCCTGGCCATTATCTCGACCTAGCCATTCAAAAGTCTATAAAATGAAGGCACTGAATCCGCCCACTTCGCAGTTGCTCCTGTGCACATTTGAGCTATGAATCCAAGCTATTTCTAGACCCAGGACTGCAACAACTTTGGAGGACTCCAAGCTCCTCACCAGCAGAAAAGATGTTAAAAGCTGGTCTACCGTGGCAGGTCTGTGTCGGTGAACCGTTTCTGATTAATTACTCACAGGGTGGGTTGCAAAAAGTCTGGTATCTGCTCTGCAACTGAAGAGGGAATACAAGGGTGTTGCTAGCAAAATAATGGAAAGGTCCATCTGTACCTTCTCTGCCAGAGGAGGGGAGAATTGTTTGCACATTGGGGCTGGGCTGGGTGGAGGGGCTTCAAAGCACAAATATGTGGACAAGAGGATACCGTATTTTTCGCACCATAGGGCGCACCGGACCATAGGGCGCACCTAGTTATGGGAGGCGGAAAACAAGAAAAAATTATTCTGAACCCCAGAAGCCAGAACAGCAAGAGGGATCTGGCTTCTGGGATACCGTGCGGCTGTTCTGGCTTCTGGGGTAACTGCGCCAAGCCTCCTCAGGGCAGCGGGATGAAGGCTCCCCCTGCCCAAAGAGGCTGCGCAGGGCTAAAGCAGAAGCCAGGACAGACGCATCGCTGAAGGGGCACTGCGCCTTCTCTCTCTCTGTGCAGCGCCCCTCCTTCACAGAAGAGGCGCTGCGCAGAGAGGGAGAGGGCGCAGCGCCCCTTCAGCGAAGCTGGAGAAGGAACAGAAGAAGACCCTTCTGTTCCTCCTCCGGCTTCCAGGAAAGGCGCGTCGCTGCGAAGCGGGAGGAGGAACAGAAGGAGTCCCTTCTGTTCCTCCTCCGGCTTCGCATGACAGGCGCGTCGCTCAAGGGGCGCTACACCTTCTCTCTCTCTGCGCAGCGCCTCTCCTTCACAGGAGAGGTGCTGCACAGAGAGGGAGAAGGCGCAGCGCCCCTTCAGCGAAGCTGGAGAAGGAACAGAAGGGTCTCCTTCTGTTCCTCCCCCGGCTTCGCTTGATAGGCGCGTTGCTCAAGGGGCGCTGCGCCTTCTCTCTCTCTGCGCAGCGCCTCTCCGCGCAGAGAGGGAGAAGGCGCAGTGCCTCCTCCGGCTTCCAGGACAGGCGCGTCGCTGAGAAGCCAAGGAACCTGCATTCGCTCCATAGGACGCACACACATTTCCCCTTCATTTTTGGAGGGGAAAAAGTGCGTCCTGTAGAGCGAAAAATACGGGTAACTAATATGGGGACCTGTAGCAGTTGTGCAAACATTCTCACTTTAATAATAATAATAATGATTTATTATTTATACCCCACCCATCTGGCTGGGTTTCCCCAGCCACACTGCGTGGATTCCAGCAGAATATTAAAATACAATAATTCATCAAATATTTAAAGCTTCCCTAAACAGGGCTGCCTTCAGATGTCTTCTAAAAGTCAGATAGTTATTTTTCTCTTTGACATCTGATGGGAGGGCGTTCCACAGGGTGGGTGCCACTACTGAAAAGCCCCTGTGCCTGGTTCCCTGTTACCTCACTTCTCACAGGGAGGGAACTGCCAGAAGGCCCTTAGAGCTGGACCTCAGTGTCTGGGCTGAACGATGGGGGTGGAGATGCTCCTTCAGGTCTACTGGGCTGCGGCCGTTTAGGGCTTTAAAGGTCTGCACCAACACTTTGAATTGTGCTCGAAAACGTACTGGGAGCCAATGAAGGTCTTTCAGGACCAGTGTTATGTGGTCTCGGTGGCCACTCCTATGGGATCCTAGGGACAGTGAAGAGGGAAAATCTATTGCCTTCATGCCTTGTTTCTGGGCTTCACGGGAGATACTGGCTTCCCAGCCTAGGAAGCAAAAGAAAATCTGGAGAACAGCTGGGGGGAAGGGTGGGAAACTAAGGTGGTCTGTGCATGATCAGAGACTGACAGTTCATGGAGCAAAGCTGTCATAGAATCATGGAACTGTAGAGTTGGAAGGGATCCCAAGGGTCAGCTAGTACAACTTCCTGCCATGCAGGAATCTCAGCTAAACCTTCCACGACAGATGGCCACCCATCCACTGCCTAACAGCTCTTACTGTCAGAAAGTTATTTCTGCTTTTTAGTCGGAATCTCCTTTCCTGTAACGTGAAGCCATTGGTTCAAGTCCTACTGTCCTTGAGCCATTGGCTTGAGTTCTAGTTTCAAATGTGTGTGATTCCTGCATTGCAGTGGTTGGAATAGTTGGTGCTTGGGGTCCCTTCAAACTCTACAATTCTATGATTCTATGAAACTACAGTTTTCAATGGAACATTTTCCACTTTGGAGCAGTACTGTACTATGTGGAAAGAGGTGAGTTTATGGGGCAGGTTGGTGGTGATAATAGTGGTCATAGAGAAGGACTATGTGCAGAGGAGGGTGACCCAGATATTCTTGGGTCTGGAAACCAAGCCTTATGCGGAATGGTTGAAGGAGTCAGCTATGTTCAGCCTGGAAGAGAGGAGACTTGAGGATAATTATCTCCCACTATTTGAAAGGCTGTCACATGGACGATGGAGCAAGCTGGTTTTCTCCTGCTCCAGAGAGTAGGGCCTGAACCAGAGGATTCAGATGACAAGGAATGAGATTCTGACGAAGGATTAGGAAGAACGTTCTGATGGCAAGAGCCATTCTACCCAACAGGCTTTGTCACGGGACTGAACAACAGTGTGCGACGGCGTCACCTCTTATCAATCACCTTCCTTTTACTCCCCCTTACATTGAGGGGAGTTGCTAGTTTATAGCCATTTTTGTAAACCTGATTTGTATTGGGAAGGCGAATGGCCACAGCATCACGCTGCAACACTTCCTTTGCCTGGGGAAGGTCCAAGGTTCAGTCTCCAGTGGCAGATATAGGTAAGGCTGGGGAAAACCCCTGTAGCCAATACTGAACCAGATGGTTCCATAGCCTGTCAATCAGCATACTGAGGCAACTTCCTGTATTCATATGGACAAATGCAAGAAGGATGAGTCTGTTTGTTGGTCATCATGGATGAAAGAAACCGATTGAGGTAATATGTCTCTGAATTCCAGATGGAAGCATCAAACAGCGGAAGGAGGGCGGGGGATGCAGAGTGCTTGACTAGTTGGACCCTTGCCTGATCTATCAAAGCAGTGGCTAGTGTTCTTATCTTCTCCCCTTTTTTGCCAACAGAATTTGTGTCTCTGATGTCATAAGGAACTCCCCAGTTGTAGCATCGCAGAGTTGTAGCTCAGAAAGAGCTTATGGTCCCATCTGGTATGCCTTGCCTGTGAAAGGAAAGACTATTTGATGCAGATATCGACATGAACACGACTCCCAACCACACCTTCTCTGACCCCTCAGTGTTCTTCCTGTCTGGTATTCCTGGACTGGAAAGCTCCCACGGTTGGATCTCCATACTTTTCTGCTCTGTCTTCACCACCTCCCTGCTGGGCAACAGCACCCTGCTGTACGTAATCAAGACTGATGAGAGCCTCCACAAACCCATGTTCTTCTTCCTCTCCATGCTGGCCTCCATTGACCTGACCTTGTCCCTCACTACCATGCCCAAAACACTGAGCATCTTCTGGTTCAGGGCCAGGGAAATAAGTCTGACCGCCTGCCTTGTTCAGATGTTTCTCCTCCACACCTTTTCCATCATGGAGTCTGCTGTGCTCTTGGGCATGGCCTTTGATCGCTACGTGGCCATCTGCCACCCTCTGAGGTACACCACCATCCTCACCAATTCCTTGGTAGCCAAAATTGGGCTGGTGGCTTTGGTGCGGGCTGCGGTCCTGATGCTCCCATTGCCCTTCCTGCTTAGGAGATTGCCCTATTGCCGCTCCCACGTTATCGCCCACTGCTACTGTGAGCACATGGCGGTGGTGAGATTGGCATGTGCCCACACTCGGTTCAATAACATCTACGGGATCATAGTTGCTCTCTTTGTTGTAGTACTTGATTTGACCTTTATTGGTCTTTCTTACACCAAGATCCTACAAACTGTCCTCAGTCTGGCTTCAAAGGAAGAGCAGCTCAAAGCCTTCAGCACTTGCATCTCTCACCTGTGTGCCATATTGGTTTTCTACACTCCTGTGGTCCTCTCCTCAGTCATCCATAGATTTGGCCACCATGTTGCTCCCTACATACACATCCTGCTGGCCAACTTCTACCTCCTCTTCCCACCCATGATGAACCCCATCATCTATGGGGTGAAGACCAAACAGATACGGGACAGAGCTCTCCTCCTCTTCCACCGGAAAAGCTTTTGAAGGGCAATCTGGCATGGGAAGCCACGCCAAGGTGCCTGTTCACAACGATTACCATACCCATGGGTGGTTCTGTTCTTCACGGTTACAAACTTGGTTGGATGCTCAACAGCTTTAAAGGAGGATTATACAAATCCCACTTGGTGGAAATCACAGAAGGAGAGAGTGTCCATGTGAGGGGAGGGGAAATAAATGGAGACATTTCTTAGGGAGTTTTGGGGTAGTTGAGAGATGGTTTACAGAAGAGTAGGAGGGAAAGAGGGAGATAGAGAATTGGTTCTGGCTTGTGTGTAACATCCACTCAACTTTTCCCGCCCCAATCTGGCCACAGTGATCCATGCGGCGGTCAGCTCCAGGCTTGGCTCCTGTAATTCGCTCTATGTGGGGCTGCCCTTGAAATTGTCCCAGAAACTCCAACGGGTGCGGAATGCTGCAGTGAGGCTCCTCCCGGGGTCCCTGCCATGGTAGCATATTCACCCAGTGCTTACCAGTTGCACTGGCTCCCGGTGGAATATAGGGTCAGGTTTAAGGTGCTGGTTTTGACCTTTAAAGCCTTTTGTAGCTTAGGGCCCTCATATTTACGGGACCGCCTCTCCTGGTATGCCCCACAGAGGACCTTAAGGTCCATGAATAATCATAGTTTAGAGGTCCCAGGCCCTAAAGAAGTCAGATTATCCTCCACCAGGGCTAGGGCCTTCTCAGTGATGGCTCTGACCTGGTGGAATGCTCTTTCCCATCAAACTAGGGCCCTTCAGGATTTAACCTCCTCCCGTCGGGCCTGTAAGACAGACCTATTCTGCCTGGCTTTCAATTTGAACTTAGCCTGATCTTTTATTCCCTTTCCTTCCCTCCCCTTTTTCTGAAGATTACCCGCTCTGGATTCCCACAGCTAATTCTCCCCTGGCCTCCTCACTGGCCCAAATAGGACTAATTTAGCTAGCTAGCCCTGGTGATCATCTAATGTTTATTGGATGGGTTTTCCCCTAAATTGATTTTTGAACTTGTTATTCACGCTTTTATACTGTATTTTATGCTGTTTTTTTATTGTATCACAATTAAGTGTTTAAAATTTGTTGTTAGCCGCCCTGAGCCCAGTTTTCTGAACCGGGAAGGGTGTGGTATAAATAAAAAAATATTATTATTATTATTATTATTATTATTATTATTAATTATTAAGGAAAATATCTGCAGCTAGAGAAAGGTGTATCTGAGCTTAGACAGTAAAACTGTGTTGAGTGTCTTGGGAGAGTCTTCAGAGAGGAGTTGACTGGAGGGCTGAGTTTGAGCAACAGAAGTAGAAGCTGGGGGGATAATGTCTCCTTGGGTCTCATTCCAGTCAGGAAGGGAGAGATCTAGTCTGGAAACCTATAACCTATTACCTAAAGTGTAATAAATGAAGAAAGTTAATCAAGCTGTACTTGATTAGAAGCCTGTAACATCCATGAGATTTAGTATATTATTAATAAGTTAACTGCTTCCTGAAAGAATATTACCTCCTGATACATCCTTTGCTTTATCCATTTCATTCTGTTAAATAAATCTTTCCTATTTGTTCAACTTCTACCTGATTCTCCAAGTACCAAAGTTTTCCCTCATACAATATCCAGCAGAGCTAACTTGTGCTGGTTAAAAAAAACATATTGATAGGAGACATAGGGAGTCAGGGGTTCACCATGCCTCATGTCTCTGAACTCCCCCGAGATCTCCTCTGGAGTATCTGCAGGGAGGACGAGTCATTTGCCAGTGGCCTTGAACTACAGCTCACAAGATGTTCTCTCTCTCTCTCTCTCTCTCTCTTTCTGTGTGTGTGTGTGTGTGTGTGTGTTGGTGTGTGTGGTGTGTATGCAGCCTTGGTGATTTTCAGCAAGAATCTCCCTGGACAGAACACATTCCATCCCAGCTGTGTGAAGCTGGCCTGGCCTGCTCCCTAGCAACCATCTCTAGGCAATAGCCAAGTGGGCTTCATAGAACCCCTTGCACCTCACGCACCCAGAATCACCAAGGGATGTCTCACCTGTGCTCCATCTCCCACGGATGCAGCACTTGAGGGACTCTGAAGTCACTAAAAATCCCCTGCCATTATCTCGACCTGGCTGTTCCAAAGCCTATAAAATGAAGGCACTGAATCCGCCCACCTCACAGATGTGCCTGGGCTGGGCACACGTGAGCTATGCATCGAAGTTGTTTCTGGACCAAGGACCCTGCAAGGACCCTGGAGAGCTCCATGCACCTTGCCAGCTGATACAGACATTAAAAACTGATCTAAAGTAACAGGTGTGTGTCCATGTACCATTTCTGATTAATCACCTACTGCATGTGTTGCAGAAAAGGCTGGTATCTGCTCTGCAGTCAAAAAGGGAACACAAGTGTGTTGCTAACAAAACCATGGAAGAAGAAGAGGAGGAGGAGGAGGAGGAGAAGTGTTTGGATTTGATATCCCGCTTTATCACTACCTGAAGGAGTCTCAAAGCGGCTAACATTCTCCTTTCCCTTCCTCCCCCACAACAAACACTCTGTGAGGTGAGTGGGGCTGAGAGGCTTCAGAGAAGTGTGACTGGCCCAAGGTCACCCAGCAGCTCCATGTGGAGGAGCGGAGACGCGAACCTGGTTCACCAGATTACGAGTCCACCACTCTTCACCACTACACCACACTGGCTCTCCAGCTGCACTTTCTCCGCTGGAGGATGGTAGAATGGTCTGCAAGGAGTGGCCATTGGGGGGCCCATGGCTGGGCTGAGGGTTTTGAACATAGGCTAGTTGATAACATTAGTCAGTGAAGACAATTGTGAGCTGGATGGAGCAAAGGTTTCACTCAGTATAGGATAGCTGCTTATAGCTGTTCTGCTTTTAGGCTTCCCATTGGGACGTCTGGCAAAGCAGAATGCTGGACCAGGTGAACTTTCTGCCTGATCAAGCTACAGGGCTCTTCTTCTGGGTGCATATGGGGGAGGGAGATGGGTGCCTTATGCTGGAACAGTTGACTGGATCCCAGAAGAGAGCCACTCCATGTGTAAATGTCTTCTGAAAGCACTTATGCTCCCTGACCCTAACCCTGAATTTATCTGCAGTTGTGACATGGCCTGGATCCATCCTCATGTTTAGGGAAGCTTTTAATGTTTAATAGGTTATTGTATTTTAGTGTTCTGTTGGAAGCCGCCCAGAATGGCTGGGAAAACCCAGCCAGTTGGGCGGGGTATAAATAAATTATTATTATTATTATATCCTTTCTTTTCATGCAGGTGCTTTACTCTAGAATTGGACTTCTGAGGATGTTGTTCTGGCACTAGTTTTTCTCTTCTTGAACTTCATTTTTTCCTTTCAAAGATATAAATTAAGTCAAAAATATATTTTTTAAACATTATCACCCTCAAAGACCAGCTCAGAAGAGCTGAAGAATGGGGGGTAAACAAAAGCAAATTTTCCAAAAAGTGGGCTTCTTGATGAGTAATTGATGGGGGGATCCTAGGAGAATCTATAGAGCACCCCTGAATTGTCTGATTCCACAATTTAAACCAAGCAGCAAAAGCCCACCTCTCTCAAGCCTCCTCATTGAGAAGCATCAAATTCATTTTCTATCTGCTTGCTTTTTGATGGAGCATATAAAGAGAACCGACCTTAGAAGAACAGAGACTATTCGTAGCAGCAGGAAAGACCCTAAGGTCAGTAGTCTCCCACTGGGCAATGTCTCGGGAAGCCAGTATATGCAACTACAGGAAAATCTAGAGGAAGCCACCTTTTACGATTTTGCAAGGAGCAGTCTGAACACATCCATGTAAAGTTAGGAGCACCTGTGTCACTAAGGGAGAAATTCTGATAGATAAGCCGCAGGGTCAGGTCTTTGCTCAATTTAACATGAACAATCTCACTGCAATGGGGGCGCTTTAATCAAAGGAAGTGGCTCTACTCTCTCTGCATACCACATATGCAATTCACTAATATCTGTCATGCCAGACATTAGCAACATTAGCAGCCATGCCCCTTCCTCCTCCTCCTTCTTTCTCCTGGGTCTCCCAGGTCTGGAGAACATACAGGTTTGGATCTCCATTCCCTTCTGCTTCATCTATGCCATGGCTGTCTTTGGCAATGCCACCCTGCTTTGGATCATCAAGACTGATTCCAGCCTCCACAAGCCCATGTACCTCTTCCTCTCCATGCTGGCTTTGACAGATATAGCCATGCCCACCTGCATCGTTCCCAAGATGCTGGGCATCTTCTGGGCTGGTGCCCAAGAGATCACCTTTGCTGGCTGCCTGGTGCAGATGTTCATGATCCATGCCCTCTGTGCGGTGGAGTCTGGGACCCTCACTGCCATGGCTTATGACCGCTACGTGGCCATCTGCTCCCCGCTCAGCTACACAACATTACTGACGACAAACACTGTGGCAAAGTTTGGTGCTGTTATCGGGGTCCGGGCCTTCGTCATTGTCTTGCCCTTTCCTTTCCTGGTGAAGAGACTGCCGTTCTGCCACTCCCACCTTATATCCCATTCCTACTGTGAACATATGGCAGTGGTGAAGCTCGCATGTGGGGACACCACACCCAACAACCTCTATGGGTTGATACTATCCCTTGTCATTGTCGGTGCCGACCTTGGCTTTATCTTCGTCTCCTATGGACTGATCCTACATGCTGTTTTCCAGCTGCCTTCGCTGGAGGCCAGGCACAAGGCCCTGGGTACCTGTGGGGCCCATGTGGGGGTCATCATCATCCTCTACACACCGGGCCTCTTTTCTTTCCTCACCCACCGCTTTGGACATAACATCCCTCACCACGTCCACATCTTCCTGGCAAACATCTATCTCATGGTTCCAGCCATGCTCAACCCCATCGTTTATGGGGCCAAGACCAAGGAGATCCGTGAGCGGGTGCTGAGTGCACTGGGGCTGAGGAAGAGCGCCTCCTAGACTCCCAGGGCAGAACTGCAGGAAGAGCAGGAGAGGAGCAGGAGGACAGGGATGAACTGCCAGGGGCGTTGAAGAACTTTACCCCCATGGTGTCTTCTCAAGTTGTCAGGGGAGGTGTCAGAATTCATCCATTTAGCACAGCATGTTTAAGTGAGGGGGTTTGTGGGGGGGGGGTGTATTCACTTGTCGGTGATGATATGTAACAATATTGTCTCGTGGTCTTACCAATATTTTTTGTAATGCTACTGCTTTGTCCTGGGTGAGGCATGGGACTTTTGTCTGGGGAGCTGACCAGTTAACATGGAGGGTTTGTCTGGTATCAGGTTTGTTACCGGAATTCTAAGGTCTCAAATATAGAATAAATGTTGATAATTGGACAAGGTTGAAGCAGGAGTCTCTTAGCCAATAAAGGAATGACCAAGGATTTGGTTGCAACCAATCTCCAGTCTTAAGGCAGACTGAAGCGTCAAGCTATGCTTAGCTCAGGCTTTTTTAGAAGAGTTTGGATTTGATACCCCGCTTTATCACTACCTGAAGGAATCTCAAAGCGGCTAACATTCTCCTTTCCCTTCCTCCCCCACAACAAAAACTCTGTGAGGCGAGTGGGGCTGCAAGACTTCAGAGAAGTGTGACTGGCCCAAGGTCACCCAGCAGATGTATGTGGAGGAGCAGAGACGCAAACCCGGTTCCCCAGATTACGAGTCCACCGTTCTTAACCACTACGCCACACTGGCTCTCACCAGACTTATACATTTCAGAGGACCAGCCCACACGATACAAGAGCAATTAAACTCGAACACTCTGGTATACCGTATTTTTCGCCCCATAAGACACATCTGACCATAAGATGCACCTAGTTTTTAGAGGAGGAAAACAGGGGGAAAATATTCTGAATCAAATGTTGTACTAAACTATTTAATAAACTACCGGTATATCAGAGTGAGAGTGAGAGGGACAGGAGCTTTATGTTTCTTTAGCATGCGTGCTCAAGGAGCGACGAGTGGGGAGGCAGCACGCCCCCGGACGGACCTGACACAGGAACCCCAACAGCCTCCTCTCGTGTAAGCGGCTCCTCTCCGGCTCTGCTGCTTCAAAGCGAGCCACGGAGGAGGGAAGGAAGGGGAGCCATGGATCCTCCGTTCGCAACTGCAGCGGGATCCCGCCGCCGTCCGTAGGCATTCACTCCATAAGACACACAGACATTTCCCCTTACTTTTTAGGAGGAAAAAAGTGTGTCTTATGGAGCAAAAAATACGGCAATTCATGACACAGGATGAGCCAGATGAGCAACAGGTCAAGAAGGTCGTTACAGCATGCAATTATGCAGTGCCGGTTTCTTACACGGCTTCCCATTCTTCCCTTAGATCTCTGGGCCAAAGATAACAATTGGCAAGCTTCCTGGTAACCTTACACTTAACAGGCGAGGATCTCTAGCTTACGCCTATCAGGTAAGGATTTCAATCACTGTCACATTTCAGGAGGCCTTTCATCTATATTTCCCTTGCTAAGATTCATGCATGTTTAGCCTGCAAGTCTTCCCATTGGAGCAATTTTACAATTTATAAACTTTCTTTGCTGCACTGTGATGTTTGCTTTGATCCATCCTTGTTAGCATGAGAGTTTTCATGATAATTGTCCAACTCCTATCTGCTGGTCTGTTCACAGTGACCTTGAAAGTGTTTCTGCTCTTCCTATATGCACGGCACGAGGGACTGGATATGACAGGAAACTAGAATTCCCCTTTGCAGCAGCCTTCTATTTAAACAAGCTCCTTTTGGGGTGCCTTTTAAAGTCAAGTCTTTGAAATGATTTTAATTGTCTTTTAAAAAAAAATTATTTTCCAGCTTGTGCTGTTTGTATTCACAAAGCTCCTTTAGAATTAACAGGCTTCCCTGTGATGATTTCTCAGCTCCTGAGGAGGATCTGGAGTTTGTCTATAGCACTGATGGGCTGTAATGAGCTGTAACTTAGCGGAACTTCAAAAAGAATTTTCTAGACATTTGAACTCTTGTTCAGCATAGGAGAGAGAGAAAACTTTTTGCATGCAAGCATTTCAGTGTTGGTGTTTTTAAGCTACCTTTCTCATTTCTCTAAGCAAACTTCTTTTTTTAAAAAAAATAAATTTTATTTAAAGTTTTTGTGACAGAAAAAGAAGTAAAAACTGGGGGCGGGGGGGGACTTACAACCACAGTCATTCAACGTAATTCCAATTACAAACACAATCATTTTACTTTTATATCACATTCTTAATAATTTTCCAAATACCACCCTCTACTTCCCTCCCCCCACACCCGACTTCCCTTCACCCATGTGAGATCTTATTGGCATTTGTGTCTTGTTGTGTTACCACTTATTTATAGTTAATAGTCATATCCTTTATAATATCATCTTGTATCCTTGTGAATCTTTCCTTTTACGTTTATGTTAAAATTAATTTCTATAGCCATATTTTTTCCATATATATCTCTACACAATCCCACTCTCTCTTAATTTTTTGCTTGGGGCAGCCCCTAATTGATGCTGTTAATTTTTCCATCTCCATAAATTCACAAATCTTAATTCTCCATTCTGATCATTCTGGTATTTTTCCTGTTTTCCAATTTTTTGCCACTAGTAATCTAGCCAGTGCTATCACATAGAGGAATATATTCTTTTTATCTTTGGGAATATCATTGGTTATTAAGCCTAACAGATATGCTTCTGGCTTTTGGAGGGTTGTGCTCTTAAATATTCTTTTCAACTCTTCATGTATCTTGGTCCAAAATTGTTTAATCACCTTACACCCCCACCACATATGGTGCCTTGTTCCCACCTCCGCTTTACATCTCCAACAAAGGTCTGAATATTTTTTATAGATCTTTGCCAATTTTACTGGGGTGAGGTACCAATGATAACACGTTTTCATTATATTTTCTCTTATCAAATAACAAGCTGTGAAATTTATGTTGACACTCCATAATTTTTCCCACCTACCTAAATGTATTTTCTTGCCCAGATCTTGTGACCACTTTATCGTTGTTTCTTTTATTACTTCATCTTTCAATTCCCACTCAAGGAGTAGATTGCACATTTTTGATATAATTTTATTATTATTATTATTATTATTATTATTATTATTTGGTCTGGCATACAAAGGAAAATACCTCAGGAGTGAGATTGCTAAGAGAGAGGGGAACCGAGGAAAAGTGGCCCCTTGCTCTGTCGGGATTCACAGAATGCTGTGTGAGATAGTAAGTCTGCAGGCTTGAGTTTGCTAGCTGATGCAACTGGCTGATGCAATCAGTCTGCAATACTTTCTATGGAAGTGTTGGGTCAGAAAGACTCAGCAGTAATGTGCTGTCAGTTGATTGGTTGTCATCAGTTTAAAAGGGAAACCTGTCCAGCAGTAAGCGTGCGGTGTAGAAGAGTGTGGTCAGAGAGAGAGAGAGATAGAAAGGTCTTCCTATTTGCCTTAAGGTGCAGCCAGGTACTCCGTTTGATTGTATGAACTGCTCATGTATTATAGCCTGTAGATTATGGTATATATTTGTGTATATATAGCTCACAATAAATATACTGCACTGCACTGAAGAACCTGGAACTCTGAGCATTTCTGCTAAAGTGCCACGGAGAATTCGCAACAGGGTTATGGGCCCAGCACGCTTCCGCTGTGCAAGAGTACGGGTAGCAGTTATCTAGCCGTGGGTCCTGGAGGTGAGCTGCAGGTATGGAGCAGTCCAGAGCTAGCATGTTGCTGGAGAAGCTGACGGCCACGAATTACAGCATCTGGTCGGTCCACATGTAACACTTCCTCAAGCGTGAGGGCCTGTGGAAAGTGGTGGAAATTACACCGCAGCCCCGAGGAGGAGGAAGAGGATGATGAAAAGCTGGCACAAACAGAGGCCCAGCTAGAAAAGGATGAGAAAGCCTTGGCTACGATCATCCTTGGAGTGGACGACACCTAAAGTTCCTAACATGCTGTTTCCAGGAGCTAGCCTTAAGAGGGAGGCCTGCGGGGGAAGAGGACAAAGTCTTTATGGTCTTCAGTTCCCTTGATGACAGCTATGCTGGTCAATTCCCTTGAGTCGATAGAGACTGATAAGCTGACTCTGGAATACGTCACCGGACGGTTGTATGCAGAAGAGGACAGGCATGCAGAGCAAAAAACGACCTCAGTCCAGCTGTCGGAGCATCCCAAAGGGAACAACAGCCGGGAAGAGCGGAGGTGTCGGGAGCCAGAGAAACAGCCAGGAGGACCTGCTGCAGACCAGCCGGTGGTCAACAAAGTAAAAAGGTGTTTTTGCTGCAAGTCCAGTGGACATCTGCTTCAGGACTGCCCAAGAAAACAACAAAACAGCAGAAGCACAGGAGGCAGCAGAGAGAGTCTACCGCTTGGGTGTCTGCAGATGGCCAAGAAAATGAAGAGCTGTGGGTTCTGGGCAGCGGAGCTTCTCAAACCTTTTGTAAAAGAAAAGCATTGCTGGCTGATGCTAGGACTTCAAACAAAAAGCATGTAAGTCTTGCTACAGGCCAGAAAGCTAATGTGATCTGTGAGGGGGAGATTGTGGGACACACATTCAGGAATGTGTTGTGTGTGCCGAGTTTGCAAAACAATCTCCTGAGTATTCCAGACTTGGCAAAAGCATGCTTTGAAGTAAACGTTGTGGGAGATCAGTGCCAGATAAAGCAAAATGGGGCAGTGTTGGCAAATGCTAACCTTAGAACCAATATGTATGTACTATGGTGTGAGTCTAAGGTTGTGAATGTGCAAAATGTCCCAACCCACAATATGTGTATTCATCTCCTGTACAGGCATCTGGCTCATGCTGGCTTTAAGGTGCTGAACAAAACTTTGGAGTTGTTGGGGGGGGGGATGAAAAACATTAAAAGTTGTGATAATTACTTAGACTGCAATATTTGCAAGGAAGTTAAAACCAGGGCTTGCCCAGTAGCAGGAGCAAGCCAGAGAGAAACCAAAAACCCACTGGAGTTGATTCATGCTGATGTATCGGGACCTTTTC